ACCTTGGCCACAGGGACCCATAGAATTTGGCCTCTGGCTAGCTATCTGATTTCGCTTCTCAGCATTGTTTAGCCCTCTGGCTACACTGCTAGTCCTGCCGGTTCCTAAATGTCATTTAGATCCCTGCTTAAATATCACCTTCTCACAGGTGGCAGCCTGCCCACTCTTATCTAAAATAACCACCTTACCACCACCACTGTCACCTTTATCTCCTAACTCTTTTTCTTCCCCAGGTTATACTATCTCTATTAGTTAATTATCTGACTTCCTGATTAGAATGTAAGGCCTTTGAAGGCAGGGACTGGTTTTCACTGCTAGATACCTTCAGGTCTGGGGCATGGCAGGCACTCAGATAATTTGTTAAATGGAAGAATATTTTGAACATTTACTTTGTGCTAGTCCCTGAGCTAAAGCTGTTGACATGGATTCATCATTAATTCTCACAACGATTTATCAAGTTAGGCACTGTTATTATTGTACCCCATTTTACAGATTAGTGAATTGAGGCTTACAAAGTTTGTTATGTGCCCAAGTTATAGATGCACCCTACAGTAATCTTGGATACTTAGGGTTTTTACATTAAAACCTCTACAATATTCTGTTTCCTTCATTGCTAAAATCTATGAAAATGTCTTCTAGAAATATTTTCCAGGTCAACTCAAATTTTGATAATTGATTATTGGGTCAAATTGTAAGACAAAATTCAATTTTGGATCAAGAGACACTAGTGCTTTTGATATGGGAATGGACCTTTCTCTCCCCCTCCCCACGTATGCCACATACTGGAATTCTTGGATTTCTGATGCCAGTTGCAGTTCTTTTCGTTACACAAATGGCAAGCAAAAGTTTCCAGACATTCTGCAGCGGTTGTTGCGTTTGTGTAATTGCTCATGCCTTCCTCCACTCTAGTCTACACTGTAGCCTATGAAAGTAATCAAGTCACTCCAGGTGGCATGGTCCCTCTGCTGGACTGCTGTGAGGATGGTGTGACCCAAATATGATTTTCTTGAAGGATGGTTGGAAATGGAAAAATGTTTACAAAGTTGGCGATTTGGATCTACCTGTCGTCATAACTGGCTGCCGCTTTCCATCTGTACACCAGGACTGGGACAAATGGGACTGATGTTATCTTGAGCTCTTCATTTATTTTGACCTTGATTTGTTTGGAGCAGAGGCATTGTTTTTAAGAAAAACATGTCATGTAGGTTGTCTAAAAATAAAGTGCATTTAAACTCATTTGAAAAACAGGTAAAATACCTGTTTTTGAAAATTAACATGTCTGTAGTGTTTTACATATTTAATCCTGTGAACTGGGTATTGACTCAGTTTTTGAGAGGACACAAAAGTGCAAACAGTACCCAAGGACACCAAAAAATCTAAACATATTTCTTAATTGTTTTTCATATGTTTAGAATATTAAAAGATACCAAATATGGGGCCGGCCGAGTGGCGCGATGGTTAAGAACTGGCTTGGGATGCCAGAGGGCCCCGGTTCGGATCCCACATATGAGGGCTAGTGACACTGCCCTCTACAGCTAAGATGCTGAACAACAGCTCCACCTGGAGCTGGGCTGCTGAACAACAGCTCGACCTGGAGCTGGGCTGCCGTGAGTTGCCAGCGACGACGGC